AAATCAAGGTTGAGTTAAATGGCAATGCATGGAGGCATTGAAATTTTCTAAGATATATTGCATTCCAAGAATTAATATTAACCTGATTTTCCTCAAACCAGGCTCTGTATGCCACTGTTGTCTCAAGTCCAATTTCCTTGGCTAATCCGTTCACTAGAGATCTTGAACTTATCAATGGAATCACTGAATCTTGATCACCACTGCAAAGAGAAATGACTTTGATTGCTTCATAAGTGTTACGCCTTGGTGTGAGGAGTTAGCCAAATGTCAGTGATTAAACAGACTCAATTACCTGTATACTAGGACCCTGATCCCAGACTTAACAAGTGATCCCAGAATACGAATTGTTGGTATTTCTAGATTCCCATAGTCATAATGCAGAACTCTGACACAAGGAAGATATTATTAGCAGAAGATGAAGTCTCAGGAAAAAGGTGACCAATTGTGTTTGAGAATGCAGAAAAAGGAAACTAGATTAAAAATTGAAGGCCAAAGGACCCTAAAATAAGATATAAGTTTTATATCTTTTGTTCAAATCAACTTTCTTGTGTTGCCTAATGCTCACCTAAATTTTTACCATTATTTAGGAAGATTTGAATAGAAAGAGTCTTATAGTTATTAAACTTTATGGTACTTTTGGTCTTTCAGATAGTTATTGTACAATTTGGTCTCAATAGTGTATGATTTTAATCTTCCAAATCCTATTTTTGTCAGCTGAGTCCTTCATATGTCCTAATGCTTTATATTTTAACCTACAGACACTCATAAATCAATGTCACACCAGTAAATTTCAACTAACACAGGGATTAAAATCTCATGACTGAAATAGTTGGAGGACTCAAATGGCTTAATAAAATTTTGGAAAACTAAAATTGTACATTTTTTAAAGCTAGAGAGCCCAATTAACATAACTAGAACATGCGGGACTAGAATTACACGATTACAAAAGAGAAAAACTACGATTAATCTTAGTTATTATAGTTCAGGGGTAAATCTCACATATGAACTATTACTTTTCCCTTTGTGAACATCAATATTTGCATCTCTAAAGCACTCTTCAAATGTGTCATTTTTGAAGCAATAGAACTTACGAACTGCAAGTTGACCATTTGGTGACTCCAACAAGTTTAGCATGCAGAGCTTCTTGGACTTCTTTCTTGTTCAAGTATGAGGTTGTTTTATCACCAACACAAACATCTATATTCTGTGTCTCTTGCTGCACCAGAAAAGAAATCAAGACTGAGGGGAAAAAGTTAACATAATTAATAAGATGGCTATGCAGAAAGTTGAACCTCACCAGTTGATTCAGCATATAAGCCTGTAGGTTTACTGATGACAAACACACATCGAGAGTGACATCATACTCATCTACATAGTTGCTAACCTCAGCATACAATTGTTGGTTTGCTTCTGCACAAACCCCTCCAAGATTCCCATTTTGACGTTGTCTCCTAATTGAGGAATAGTTGCAGACTCTGGTTAAGACTTCGTATGTTGAATCTGATATCAGTCCGTGGGACCAAAAGTACTCAGATCTGGCGTTGAAATCAGTATTAAACTCCAGCAGAGGATTCCCTATCTGCGAGTATCAACATAAATATGAACCACATGTATTTTTCAAATAAACCAAATACTTTTTTATATTATACTTATTCAAATGTTCCCTTCTGTACTCACTGCTATCCCCTTGAGATTGAAGTTGATCTTGGTTTTAAGAATAAGTTGTGCAAGTTGTGGAACATAGTGACCTGAAAATAAGTGTGAATTGTGAATGGTGCATTATTTAATACAGTTTCAAAGTGGATATATCCTTCATATATGTCTGATTCTAACCTCCATAGCTCTCCCCTGTAATGAAGAATTCCTTATTTGAGTACTCAGGGAATTTAGTGAACCAACGCTGTAGAAACACAAGATTATCCCTAGCTGTACAAAACAAGACTATTGTCAGCATCCTGAGAAACTTCATGAAGACAACAAGTGATAAAATCTTGACTATTTATCAAACTATTATTCTTATGTTACTATTTAAAGGCCATTGTGGACAAAATGAAGTGAAAAAGAACCTGTAATTTCATCTGACACTAATTCATAGAACGAGTTATTGCTAGAGTAAGAGAATCCAACACCAGCTGGTGACTCCAAGTACAGCATATTTGCTTCTGTGATAAGAATGAAATATGTAATCAACTTTGGTTTCTTCATGTCGTATTTGATATTTGGTTCAACAATGTTGGGTTAAAGGTTCACCTTTGTTCCAACTATAATCATTTTTCTCAAGAACATTGTTGTCACTCGGTCTGAAAGGACCATGCTCAGCAAAAGCTCCAACTCCAATCGATGAACAACCAGGCCCTTCAAAAATCAAAACCAAAAAGGCATCCTAATTACTTTGAGCAGTCTCAAAGGTTTAAGGCAGATTCATAAAAGTAATAAACAAAAGCATGCATTTTATGCATAACAAGATCTATTATACCTCCATTCAACCAGAGGACTAATGGCTTGGAAGCTGGGTTTTCTTCAGCTTCAACAAAGTAGTAAAACAAAGCTCTCTGGTGCTGATCATCCACGCTAATGTAACCAGAATATTGCTGAAATTTGACCTGAGGCTGCCCCGGCAAATTGCTGATTTTATCAGATTCAGGAAGTGAACTCACTCCCACTAATGTTTGTGCAAGAACAATAATTATCAGATTCAGATTCATAGTCAATGACTGAGGTAGCATGGTCGTATGTGTGAAAAGTTTGGCTTAGTTTGAATGATATATCCTTTTCTCTAGTGCGTGTATTTTTTAACTTAAAAAATCTTCTCAGACGGCATACTTAAAAAACATACTACTATTTAATCATAATGGATGTTGTATCATTAGAACATCACCTTTTACTTTTAACTACTTCCACAAAATCTAATTATTTTTAGCTCCTTCTTTGTTACCTTTTTCTTATTCCTTCTTCTTTCATATATGTACTTTTCCCAGTGACATATTAATATATGTAAATTTAATTTTTGTAGTTAGCTACAAGATTAATAAATTTACAGCACTAAATAATCCACGGAAAGTTGATTAAAAATATAAATTTCAAAATTTTCCACTTCCCCACTAGAAAATCTTATCATTTTCTTAGGTTAATAATATAATTAAGTTAAGAAAATAATAACGTTCATGATTAAGTAAAACCATAACGTTATTTTGTGTGAACGTAATCTTAATCATGATTTTATATTTATATTTCATTTACTTATATGTTTTAATAAGACACATTAGTAAATGATTATGTTATATTTGAAATAGGTTCTTGTTTTATAATTTTATGGCATCCATAGAACACACGAGGTCGTATATAATTATTACGAAGACGGCAATGGTGATGTTGTTGTGTATGTGAATGTGGAAATTTGGTCATGTGTGTGGAAAGCAATGGTGTAGCTTTTCACACCTATGTTTGAATTTTGAGGATTGGTTTACTGCTCATGGTTGTACATGGTGACTGATTTTGTTGTTTTCTTTGTTCTTAACTCGTTTTATTGGTCCCTTCAATATTAGTTTAAGTCAATAAATTCAATCAACATCATCTCATGTTTGTTCTCATTTCTTTAATGTTATAATAAATATAAAAAATATTAATAAATTCTGCAGAATAATACTGATCTAAACATTGTAAATTTAAAGAAGATGCAAAAATCATGTATTGTTATTAAGTTTGATAGAATCATTTTATCATTAACTATATTTAAGAACTAATTAACACTAAATTAGGTTTTCAATAATTAATTTTATATAAATTTATATAATTTAGGAATTAATTTTTCATGAAATTACACAATAAAATGTAATTATGAATATTTTTATATTTTTATGTATTAAATTACCATTCATCCATTAAAACTAAAATGTGATTTAAAAAATAGAAACGTTGGGAATAAACAGTTTGGTGTGATCAGCAATAATAAGTGAATAATTTGGAAGGAAAGATTGACATTGCAACCACACGCTGATGCGTTGTTGACAAGGTTCATGTTGTTTTGATTTCCACAGTGTGTTTCTCGCCTTGAGTCGTAATCCAAATCCAAATCGTGACTTCAGAATAATGTAATCAGATACTTTGCATAAAAAATTAATAAATAATTAAATCAATTTTGCTGTTGATCCACCCTGGCTATTGATTTTACTGTTGTAATCTGACGTATCTATTTAATAGGTCACCAGATTCTTTTATATTATGTTTGTACATTTACACATTACAAATCTGAATAGAAAATTGTATTATCACAACATCATATCAATAAATATAAATTGGCAAAAGTAGTAAAATCTTACATGTCTTTGTACATTGGTAATATATACAATGTTAATTTATTTTAAAAAAATGGCCTGACTTTTAAAACACTCTAAAAAGACACAATACTCGCAAACACAACTTACTGTACAAAAATTCTGTCTTGAACATATAATAGTCTACTGGTAAGATATTATCTGATTCAGGAAATAGAAAAGTATTACAAGTTTTAATTAATCTGATTCAGTGGACTGGAATATAAGAGATGGACTATAACTACCAACCTGCCCGCCGTTAGGGGAATGTCATCCCTACTTTTATGTCTTTGGTAACACCATATCACCCACAAATGAGAGGAACCATGTAATGGAAAAGTGAGAACTGGGAAAAGATGTAAAGCATTTGAAAAGGCTGATTTGTGAAACAATCTAAGTTGCTACATAAAATGGGATGTGTTAAGAGAACTGTGCAAAAATGGAACTCGGCACTTTTAGCTAAGTGAAAATTTAATCTCAAAGATAAACCATCAAATATGAGTTCCTATTTGCAACGCGTCAACCTTGTACTGAAACAAGGCCACTCACTATACATCGAATGACGCTCATACAAAAGAACAAGCACAGCATACAGAGAAATTCAATGAACCAGATCGAGGCAAACAAACAGGATGGATCAAAGAACTTCAACACACATAGATGACAGCTAATAATAAATCCATTTATTTATGGCAAAGAAGGAGCCTCAGGAAGTGACGATGATAATGAGGGTTTCTCTTTTCTCAGTTCCTTGACAACAGCAGCAAGTGCTTCAGGATTGACTCCAAGATCACAAAGTGCAATTAGAACAGAAAGTGTGTGACGGTCTAGACCCGTATCAAGTATATTGGACATATGGAATGCCAGGTCTAGCGATTCTCGTGCAGCTCGTGCAGCCTCCGGATCCATCTTTAAGCTGAAAACTGGTAGAGTATGTTCAATTCAATAGCATAACAAAAATTAGAACACTGAATACAGGTCGCAGATTCAGATATAACAAGTCAATAGATTGTTAGGATCAAGCATTTGAAAAATAAATTTCCTAACTTTGCAAAAAAAGAATTGCTTGGATAAAAAAATAACGTTCTTTCTTTTTACAAATTCTTGTATGGGCATAATTATAATTTCTTACTTTTCTGAAATTCTATACTTGGATAATAAATTTTGACAATAACCATGAAAATAAGGAGAGAAATTAGACCTCAATTAAATTGAACTTTATCAATGCAAGTACCTAATTTTACATCAATGCAAATAAGGAGAAAAATCAGACCTCAATCCATATTTTTACACCAATGTAAAAGGTGGAGAAGCAACTTTCTGTTAGTTCAGAGTTGACACATGCTGGTGCTAAACACGCATCCAAACACCTATTATATAACAATGAAAAAGAGGGGGAAAACTCAACTTGAAAATGTTCTCCTATCTCTATGAACATCAGTAATAGAAGGGCAAAAGGCTGCATGATAGTGTTTGTATAATCTTTCACCCTTGATTTTGTTGAGCACACTAAGTTGCAATCATCGGATTGAACATAGTGTCACAGTTCAGAATTGATTTCTCTTTGACATTCAGCATTTGGCCCTTCTATTACTGACAAGCATAGTGTGTTCAGCACCAGCATGCAGTGATTAAGACATGCATCTATCTTTTTCATACCCTGATCCCAACTCAGACTTATGTTGAAGTAATTTATGATTGTGTTTCGACTGAGCAATTTTTATGCTTCTTGCAACCATCCCATAAAGGTTCACCAGCAGAATCTCTTGTTAAGTTATAAAACTTTGAAGCTAACGGATTTGGATCCTCTCTATCTCTTCCACTTCTGGATTTACTCTTGTCCCAAGCAGCATATATAACCATATCCACACAAGGATTTTCATTCTCCACATACACAGTTTGGATTAAAAGATTTTGATGCACTAACCCTCCATCTTTCTTGACCATGACGGGTCCAATTTACATAATCATCCATAAGCCCATTGTCATGCAAATGTTATTTTACCCAAAATGCTTCATCCCTGTCAGGTTGTCACAATTCTGACATTTCACACCTGGACATGGAATGCATCCTTCTACAATTATTGGCTCTCCTTTAGCAACTCTAATGATATCATCATCGTCAATCCTAAATTCTTCACTTACGAAACGATCCTTTCTCCATAACATCCAACTTCGCTCTCATCTTATTTCTCCTATTGCTCAGTTTAGAATACCTATGTTAACATATGTGCTTATAGTGATTGAAAGACTTAAGAACTATATCTATTTTAAAAGAGAAGCATTATCAAATAGATAATCTTTTTATCTTCCTTAGTGAATAAATCACTTAAAAACATGTACTACTAATAAAAATCATTGTCATCTCTTAAACCTTTTTTCTATAAAAAATAAGACAAGTCAATAAATAGTAAAAGATAACAGTTGAATCTGGTGATAAAAAGTAGAACTATATCCTTCTGTTATCTTGTAATGATCCAAATGAAGATATCTTCTCATAAGAAATTATTCATGCAACAAATTTTATGAACAATGCTGCAGTATTTTATGTAGTTATACTATTTTACAGAAAGAATTTTTCCTTTCAAGGATTTTATCTTCACAAAGGATTTCTCCTTTCACAAAGAGCTAATGTTCAATTTACAAACATATACACAACTACTATCCTTCACACCCTATTTATAAACAACACCTTATGCAGCTAACTAACTCACTAATACGTTAACTATCTTACTAACTTCTCCTTCACTTTATACCCTAACAATTCTTGTTTGAATGTGATGATAACCAAAGGCTATTGCATTCAAACTCAAGTCTGGTGGCTTAGGTGGTGGTGGAAATGAGGGTGGATTTTGTATAACAACCTTTGAACCTTCCTTCTGCATTGACTCCATTGCCAAGTTGTGATCCATAGAGACAATGAAATTTAATGCTAAAGGATCACCAAAAAATTAAAATTCCCAAATTCTAATGCCAATGATGTTCCAACCACCTTCACTATCAATTGGGTCCAACAATGATCCCTGATTCTCTTAATATGGAAATCTGAATTTGGAAAAAAAATAATAATAATGTTTGGTTACATGTCCACCTTCAACTTCCTTTTTGTACCATTTGGTTGTCAAGAAACTGATCTTGACAGTCGACAATCTTTACATTCTTCATGGATGCATCAACATCTTCTTCTATCACAATCTTTCTCTTGCTAATTTCTTCTCCACTTCAAAAGGTATGATTCTTGATTCTTGAGCCATGTTCTTTACTTCTATTTTTTTATTTCAAGATTGCAATGGAACACCCTCACACCCTAAACTGCTACTCTCTGAATGAGTTTCCCCTACTATGCTTCCATCAAATGTGGGAAATTCCACATTTCTTGACTAAAGAACCAACCTCCTCTGCAATGCATTTGACCCTGTTTTGGTGGTGCTTGAATTCCCATCATCAAAGTGGGGGTTTTCTTTGTAAGATATTCCATGATGAGGCCGCAAATTTGGTTTAAATCAAGAATGTTTCCTTTGATGTACATGACATCTTTCTACAATCATGCTAGTTTGATTCCCTAGTCACTAATCGTATTTTCTATTGTCATTATGCGTTTGTCCATTGTGAAAAGGGAAAAAGTGGCAGGTCGAACTAATTTGTTAGGAACCAAGTTTTGAACAAAAAAAGAAAAGAGATATTTTTTATTGAATAGAATGAAAATAACATAAAATAGGAGAGCACTCTCTCCTCCAAGGGTTTCCCCTTCACAAAGCATTTCTCCCTCCACAAAGCATTTCTCCTTTCACAAAGAGCTAATGTTCAATTTACAAAAATATAAACCCCTTCTCTTATCCTTCATACCCTATTTATATCTAAAAAACACCTTAAATGAAATTCAAGTGTTTGAAGGAAGTCATGGTACTTGTCAAGTTCAGAAAAAGAATACAAAATGTTGTTTCCTTTCAAGTGTTACACCTCTAATCATTTCACATTTGCAATATATCAAGGGTCTTGTGTAAACTTTACTGAACTTACAAACAAAGACACACACACGCATATATATAAAATATATGCAGGGCCTTTCAAGTGTGACACCTCAAATCATTTCACATTTGCAAAATATCAAAATATCAAGGGTCTTGTGTAAACTTTACTGAACTTACAAACAATGACAACTTATATAAAATATATGCAGGTATATTTTGTCATTGAAGATTGAGAATAAACCATCTGAGACCTTATACCCAAAATTTAACTCCCTAGGACCAGCATAAAATGCTCATCGAGAAAAAAGGAGGAGACAACGACACAGGCGGAAAAGACATCCACAATGGTACCACCACAATGACAACAACGAATGTTCGCAACCACAACACAATGGTGGCATCGTCATAGGACTTTTGAATGCCAACAAATCTTCGTCCCTCCACACAATGAGTAAGGAGTAGCAGCAAGCACAACCAACAACTCTTCCTCCGTTCCACTCTTTTTCGGTTCTTTCTCTTCTCAACCCAAATTTTCACCTCCGCAGCTATTTCTCTTTCAATTTTCATTTATTTTTCTGCCACTTGAATTCAACCTCAGCACAATGCAAAGACTTTCTTTCAAAAATTGCCAGGTTAGCGGGTGTCTAGTGGGTGTTGGGAAATTTGGGGTGTACTAGAAACATTTCTCTTATCAAAATGTGAGAGGAGCTACAATTTTACAAATTGCAGCAGTGTGAAGTGGACTTATGATCTGTTTGCATATGCAGAACTAATGTTGGCGAGGAACTTGACATGAGAAGATTTTATGGTTTATTTCCAGTGATAAGAGAACAAATGTGTGAAAAGACGGATAGAGTACATTTTTTGTGAAAATGCGTGAATTTTCGCAAGATTATCCTTGTTCATGTGTCAACATTTGTTCGCTCTGTTGTTCATATGTAAGTTAGCACCATGTAATAAGAGTAAATATTGTTTGAGATTTCACTATATCAATAATCCTTCACAAGACTTTCTTTACGCTGTGTCATCCTTTAAAACGTCAAAAGATATTGTTGATAACCCGAGACTCAATCATTTTTCATCCAGATATAAGTTTGTGACAAAGCTATCATTTAAGAGTGCATGAACGAAGAGCATATTACAATGAAGAGTTAACGAACCTGACTGTTGTGCTTGGTCACTAGAGAGGGAGTGAACCACCGTCTCAAGCATCGTGCCACCACTTTCAGGTAAAACACCAATAATAATAATTTGGTTCATACATTTTTTAAGATAGTTGGTGCTATTATGGACTGTAAATTAGGTAAGGTTCTTATGCATGTAACTTTGGTTGGCTCTGGACATGACCTGCTTCAAGTCATGGCAAGGCCTCTTCAAACAAGTGGATAATTAGTTATGTAAGACATAATTGATTATGCTCTTTCCCTTTATTCCTAAATGTCAGTCAAGATTTTGATTGGGTTCATCGCATAACTGAATGATTTGAAGACAAAATTCAAGAATCTAAGACAACCTTGAATAAACACGTGTTTTTCATTTCGATGTTTCCACGAGATGTTGCTTCACCTTTTAACTTGATGCTGGTAACTTAAGATAATTATTTTTTGTTTGATGTTATATTTATTTTGTATGAGTTAATGTCCGTGCTTATATTTGATTAAGTGTTAAGTAAAGTAAATTATTGTGAAATGATTCTCATTAATAATTAAAATTTTAAAAATAATTATTTTATATTTCACCAGCTTTTATTTTTAATTTATATTTACTTCTATAAATTTTAATGAAATATATTTTGATGATTAATTAGATTATCTAATTACTACATTTTTTTACTCTTTTCAAATTAAATTAATCAGATCAATTATAAACATTTTACTGTCTTTTCCTCTCAATTAGGCATGACAACGGGCGGGGGCAAGTTTTGCCTCCCCGATCCCCGCCCGACTTTTTAACTGTCCCCATACCCGCCCTGATCCCCGTCGGGATTAGAAATTAAGTCCCCGTCCTCGCTGGGTTTTGGGTTTCCTCGTCTCGCCCGTCTCCGATCTATATTATTTTTAAAAAGATAATTATATTTATAATAAATTAATTTTACTATGTATTTTTTATATATAAATAAATATTTATAAAAGAAATATTTATATTAAAATATGTATGTCAAATAAATATTTAATCATTTTTTATTTATATATATAGAATATTTATAATAATAATAATAATATTATTATTATTACTATTATAACATTGTATTCAAACATTTGAATACTTATATTATTATTATTATTGTTATAATATTATATTCAAACATTTGATTATTCATTTTTAAGTTGTTATTTTAAAATATGAAATATATAATTTATACGTAAATATTTAATAAGTTAATTCTTATTTAATTAATTTGAATTAATAAAAGTTTAAATTATCTTCTTTTTAATCCTTTAAAATACAATTACTTTATTAAGATAAAATTTGATATATGATAAATAAGAATAATAAGATTCAAAAAATATGACATAATAAAATCTAATAAATATAAATTATAAATAAAATAATATTAGTTATTACTAAAATTTATGTAAAATATTTAGAAAAAGATAAAGACGAAAAAAATTTGATTAGAGAGATTAAGAAAATATGAAAAACTAAAACACAATAGAAAGAGAATAATGTAATAAAGTAATTAATATAAAAGATAAAAAAAATTAAAAAGTGGGTAGAAAAAAAGTAAAAATGGTAAAATATAAAAAAATGATTTTATATGTAATAGAAAAAGAAAAGAAAATACTATTAAAATATTAATATTTTAAAATTTAAATATAAAGTCGGGCGGAGACGGGTCGAGGTGGGAATTGCATTACCTATCCCGCCCCCGACTTTTTAAAGCGGGAAAACCCGAACCCGACTTTGCTCCCGGTTTTTCCTCGTCACACTCGAGGTAGGAACGGGTCGGTCCCCACTGGATATGGATTTAATTGTCATCCCTCCTCTAGATCTATTCTCTCAAAAGAATATAATTTTTCACTCTATTCTCTTCTTCATTTTCTTTTATACTCTCACATTTAAACAACAAATAACCATTGTTTACTTCGTTGGAGAGAAGGAACACATGCGTGTTATAATTTCTATTGCGCTCTATTTCCTCGACCCGGAACCGAGCAATAACTCACCATTTCATAAGAACCAAAGTTTAATCCCTTTCTCTTTTTACACTCTGTGTTGTGTGTGAGAAACCAAAGAGAAAGCACACCAAAATAGAATTAAAAACATAACAATTGAACAAAAAGAATGCTAAAGAAAAAGAAAGGCAAAGAATTGAAAAACGCATAGTTTTTACATAAGATGTGGCGAATATACAGCTTATAAATTGCACCGAAACCCTACTAGGCAGCTAAGAAAATAAAACATGGTAGAACACAGGCTGAGAGGCAGACGAAATCAATTGTCAGAAAACTCTGAAAATAGATTTTGGGATTTAGGGCTTTACAATAATTTTTTTTTTTCCCTTTCATTCTTGAAGTTAAAATCATTCAAACTAATATTTCAAATCAAAACAAGAATTAAATGAAACTTCCAATAACAACTTACTAAATCAGAATCAAATTACCAATGATACTAAATCAAAATCAGAGTCTATAATCTTCACATTGTAATACCAAATCAGAGTCTATATCAAATCAGTAATACCAACATTCTATGATCAACTTCAAAAGTGTCAAACATTTAAGATCACACCCTAGAGAACAAAAACAAGTCACTGATTTCATGTGAGAAAAGGAAAAGGAGGACCAACCTGGACGGTGGCCACTGGCTTCAAGACGGTACCGGCGTCGGTGGCAGCAACGCGTGTAGAGAGAGAAAAGAAGATAGATGGAAAAGAAAGAAAAAGGGAGGCAAAAGGCTCATCGCAAGCTCCGTGGTACCAACACCACCCGTTATCCGTATAATCCTTTTTTTAAATTATTAAAGTTAAATATAAAAATAAATATATGGATGAGTATAAATATTGTAAAATTTATCATATAATTAAAAAAGTTTATACATTATTAAAAATTATTAATTAATATTTTATATATGGTGAAATGTTAAAATTTTATTATATTTTTAAATAATTTAAATTAATATTAAAAACACCGTAAAAATAAAATAAAATAAATATTAATCAACTAGAAAACAAATTGTTATAATTATATATTAAATCAAATAAATTTAATTATTTAACTTTAATGTAAAACGAGTAAAAGCTATATATATATAATTAATTAATTTTATGTTAAATCTTAATTATTATAAAAAAAAATAAAAATTTAATAAGATATTTTTATATCTTTTGACCTATCCCTGTTGTTTTCTGAGGCTACACTATTGCTACAATATTATTTTTCCATACAAAGGAAAATAATAACGTACAACATAATTTATTTTCTTTTTCTGTTCCACAACTCCATAAAAAATTTAAATCATTTTCTTAACTAAATTACGAGAAACTATACCAAGAACAACTAAATTTCTTAACTAATATTTGAATTTACTCATGTAAGGAATTTGGGGTCTAGATTCAATTCGATATTTATTTAATGACAACATTGTATTTGTCATAAATTTTTCACCAAGTTTTTATTGAATTGCAAGAAAAAACTTCCTTTGCATACCTTCATAATTAGCATGAAAATAATAATGAAATTATTTTCTTACTTATTCATTGTTTTTTATTTAATATTTTTAGAGGACTAGATATTATACACAATACTCTTCTATTATTTTTTTTTTAAAAGGTAAGATACCCATAGTTATCATGGTACAAATTAAAAGTTTATAAAAAATTTCCTAAAAACAAGGATATTTACGTAATTTACTTAAAAATAGTATTTAAGAATAAGCAATTAAATATATATATATATATATATATATATATATATATATATATATAAGAATGAATCTTGAAATATTAAAATTTATTTTTTTTATAAATAAATAATAAAGATGATGAGTAAGATAAATTAGATTAGGTTTTTAAAGATAATTTGTTATAACAAGTTTTAAAAAAAATTGTTCCTTGAAGAAAAATATTTATAGTACGAAAGTGTTATTTAAAATTGAAGACTAATTATCGGAAGAAAAAAAAATAAAGAATAGAAAATGATACTTTATATTATATTTATAAAATAACTGAGTATATAAATTGATCGATAAATCTTGACTTAAATTTATTATAACACTTTCTGATTTAAGTACTGAAAGATATCATATGTAATTTAAAGAGGTAATATATTAATTTCAGTCTTTCACTATTAATATAATTTTCTTATGAAATGAAATATAACTTTTATATACTTATTTCTTGTACCATTTGATACACGATTAATAGTAAATTTGTAATTAATTTATTATCAAATTGCTTAATAAACCGCTGCTCCATTTATATTCACTAAGCGCTGAAAATTTTATGCTTTAGGGAGTGGTTTCCCTTGAAGAAACGCCTCAAACAAAAGAAAAGATCTCTTTGGTTGGGTAGTTGGAGTGCCATGTGAAGCTCCTCTTATTGTGGCAAACATGAGGTGATTCCCATAAACTTGTGACCATCCTCCAACCTACATGCAGAAATAACGTAAATGTGAACAAAATGTTCAGTGATGAAAAATTTCATCCGGTGAAGAGAAATGATATATGGATTGAAGATACAATGATATCGTAATATCAGTTTTAATAAAATTATGTTATATATTTTATTATTTCTAATATTTTAATATCATATAAAAAAGTAAATTCTAATCATATATCATAAAATTCTACGTCCAGTAGAAATACCATAGTAAATTAAAACCCACTGAAAAAAACAAGGTGAAGAGAATGAAATATTAATTAACCTGTTTGTCCACAAACCAGGCACTGTAAGGCAAGGTTGTTTTGAGTCGTAGTTTCTTTGCTAGGCTTTCAACCAATCTTCTCGTGCCCATGAATGGAATCACTGAGTCTTGGTCCCCACTATCACATTTACGATAAATATGGATTAATCAACCAAATCAAAACTTGCTTAATCAAAATGGTCATGTTTAGTATTTAATATCACCTGTAAACGATGACTCGAAGACCTGATTTTACAAGGAACCCGACAACATTAATTGTCGGTATCTCCCTGTTCAATGGGTCATAATTTGCCAGTACAATCCTGACATTGAAACAAGTGTCATCAGGATTAGGACCATATTTGATTCGTCTATATATCCATTGTCCCACATTGTGTCTGACTCCAATTGGAAAATAATTTATTATAAGTTTATGATTTTACATTGTTCATCATCTCATTTATGATAGAACTGTTTGGTGACAGTAATAACTTGACAGATATATTTAAGATCATTTTAACTGATTGATGATGGTACAATGGAATGTACTCCCACGTAAATTGACAGTGATAGTTAAGTTTCAAGAGTTACTATGATAAGACTGGATACTTCTAACTGCTAAAACGAGTGTTTATATGAAACATAATAGAATTAGGAGAGCAGTAGTTTTACTTCCTGCATAAACGATAATTGGTAGTTCCCACCAGCCGGGCATGAAGAGCCTTCTGCACATCTTTCCTGTTCAAGTACTTCTCTGAATATTTCATATTACACTCATCAAGTTGCTGCACCATCCAAATTGAACAAGCAAAATTCCAATTAACACAGATTCAATCAGCAAAAAGCATGAACTTTTTAAAACTAAAAGCATGTATGATTTATATATGTATACTTTTAGCATATGCAAATTTGTGGTATTTTGGTTTGTCCATATTTTTTCTTTTTAGAATTATGAAAATAAAAATGCTGTACTTTAGAGAAATCTCGCCTGCTCAGGTTCTTGGGTTTGAAGCACATCATGGGATTTCCTAAACTGAAACATCTCTGAACTTAGCATCTCCTTAAGAAAACCTGCCTGAGATACATTGTAAGAAAGACATCTGTTGCCAATGACATAATATGGGTCAATGAAAGATGTAAACGAATATTCTTCTGAGACTTTTCGAGCTGCAAGAAGACAATCGTTGGAAAGTTGGCCTCTGATGTATTCTCTTAATAGTCTAGATGAGTTACATAGAGAGGTCATGATTTTGTAAGCATGATCAGTTATAATTCCATGAGACCAGTAATATTCATCAACTGCATTCATATCAGTGTCAAAATCCAAAAGAGGGTTTCCTATCTGCAACGTAAATGCAAAAATAACTCAGAAAATGCCAAAGCATGAAAGTAACAAACAAGAACAAAAAACAGTTCAGCCTCTCAGGGCCTATATTTTACTGACTGCTATGCCCTTTAGGTTGAAATTCAATTTACTGTTAATAATGAGTTCAGCAAGTTGAGGTACATAGTGACCTGCCACCAAAACCAACATTGTCGTTGTTAGCAAGTCATGGACCAAGATTCCCTCTAGTTTAAAAAAAGTAACTGCATAATCTTGCAATCATAATCTAACTGATGAAGTTTTTTGGTTATATTTTTTGTGGTCAGAATTTCATGCCATCAGAAAAAAGTGATGGTAGAGAGTCCAGTCTGGTAAGCTATGGTTTTTATATGCAAAGTTCAAGGTAAGAAAATTATGTTTCTTCACGAATATGCATAAATAAATTATTATAAAAACTAATAAAATTACAATATGCATAACATCACAGTTTATGCTTAGAATTAGTATAAAAATCTTGTTTCCAATCAGTGCATGTATCATTACTAGATGTCCTTTACCTCCATAACTCTCTCCCATTATATAAAAATCTCTGTTTGTATATTCTGGGAACTTGGCAAACCAGCGCTGCAGGAAAACTAGACTGTCTCTGGCTAAAGAAAAAATTAATATTAACAGAGAAAATGTTAACTTTATATTCAACTTCTGAATGGAATTTAACATAAGTAGAGGGAGCACCGACTAAGGTAGAAGAGACACGCACTCCAAAACAGAATAAAGAAAAGAAGAAATTGATAAGTGTGTTGCATTTTGCGTAGGGATAAGAAAGTGAACCAACCTGTGACCTCATCGTCCAGTGCTTTATAAAATGACAAATTGAGAGAGTAAGAGAAACCAACACCTGCTGGTGACTCCAGGTACAAAATGTTTGCCTCTGCAAAAGAAAGAACTCAAAGGAGCTCAAAAATTGAGCTTTAGTTTGTGGCAATAGAGATAAGGTTGTTAAAATTTGCAGCACCTTTGTTCCAACTGTACTGATTTTTCTCAATAGCCTCTCCTTGATTTGTAACAAAAGGACCATGTTCGGTGAAAGCTCCAATTCCAACGGATGTACAGCCAGGCCCTACAGAAGCAACAGGGAAATTGAAACTTAAAACGAAAAGAAACATAAATAATTCACTTCTTCACATCCCTAAACATGATATAGGACTCTTACTCTACCTCAGAGAACATGCTCTAATCATAGAAGAGTAATGTTTGCCTTACACTATTTCAGCTTTTACACTTTGCAAAGTGTCAAATTCTAAGGCTTGTTAAAATCCAGGTGGACATAACTAATCTCTACAAGACTAATTTTGGAGTCTAATGAGTGCATAAGCTTAATACAAAGTAGAAAGAAAGGTGTTTGGTAGACGAAGTTGAATGTGGATTCACCTCCATTGAGCCAGAGAACTAGAGGCTTTGAAGCAGGGTTGGTTTGTGCTTCAACAAAGTAGTAAAAAAGAGCTCTTTGCTTATTGTCATCAACGGGTACAAAGCCAGCAAATTGTTGGAAGGCAACAGGTGGCTGGTCAGGCAAGTATTTCACCTTATCAGCTTCTGGAAATGACTTAACCAGTGAGGACATGAGCAGTGAAGTTGCAATGATTGTGAGTATGAAGGTCCATGGCTGGGGAAACATGGTGTACTGCTGGGTGAAAAAATGCAGTGAAATGTGGTGTGTAAAATGTGTAGGGCAGGGAGAGTCTTTTCTTATATCAGTAACTCAATTGTTGATCATACAGGTCCTACACAACCGCACTTCTTGATTGCTACTTTGGAATTCAAGTGTGAGATTCTCACATCATAGTGTGATGTGATATAATAAAAATACAAACCTTGCCCTGAATTCACGATAAGAAATAATTTGATGAATTGAAACATCTTAGTAGCTTAAACAAAAGTAAAAACTATTTTCATAGTAGTGGCGAGCAAAATGGAAACTGCTTAAACCGTGAAATCAAAATTTAAGTTGATAAAAAACATAAGATAGTGCTTACACAATTCCAATCTAAAATATAATTGTATACATTGATCCAATAAATAACTTTCAGAAATGAACTAATTTTTTTGAAGTGTCTTTCTCCTTCTTTTATTTACACAAAGCTACGAAGCTCACTTTTTTTTTTTACATCCAATAACTTATTTTTAAGTTTTTATATTATTATTTATTTATCTTATTTATTTTTTTCTCTATCAATCAATAAAAAATATAATATTTTAAAATTATTTATGAGATATTTGAAAAAATTGAATATAAGGAATCTTTTCTTAGTGATGAGAAGAAAATTTGATTGACTTTGATGTTTGGTCAATTGTGATTATACCATAAAAAGAACTGCAAGGAGATCGTCTTAAATCAATTGAGCAGAGGATTATATATTGGGCTGCGCAGATGGCCCGTCAACAGGACTAAAAATGGGGCAATTGCTTTTGGCACCCAACTTTTTCCCCTCAACCAATCTGGATGTTTTATTCAGCTTGGCTCATACCATCTAGGTTGGGTTGCCTACCCAAAATTGTTCAATTTACTATATCAACTCATTCAATCACCAATATAAAACATACATAGTTCATCTTAAATTGCATTTTAAGATTTTAATTATGAAAGTTTTCTTTTAACATTGATTATAATTATCAATATTATTGATAATGTTCTATAAATATGAAATTTATATGTTTTATTATAGTTCAATACTTCTAATAAGGCTTTAATTTATGTTATCAGTACCATCAATTTAGGAAAAAAAGTCTCCAAAAATTTGACTCTTAAAAGAAACCATGGGAGTAGATTGATTTTCACCTTCAATCCATTTTTATAAGACCTTTCATCCAATTCTCACCCTTTAAAAAATTAGTCAAATTAATTGAAAACATTAAAAAAAATTGTTGTATTTTCAAAATTATACATATTTTAAAGTAAACTAATTTAATAAGAGTTTTAGTATCTATAAATACTTATGTTCCATGTTATATTGTGACATTATCTTATCCTAATAAATAGTTTAGTATCTATAAATTGTTGTATTATCTATATAAATATTTGTAAGGTACTTAAAAATCCGAATTCAACTTGTAGGCTTTGTTTTGGATCTATAATTTTACTGTTTATAAAGAATTGAGGGGATAAATTTAAAGAGAAAAAATATATTTGTATTTATTTATTTGTCATGATGAGTAAAGAATAATTGTGGGACCGATTTATTTAATAGAATTGTAAAGAAAGTCATTCATTACCTATATTACCCTCTAATATATATTATCTCGTTTCATAATTTTTTACCTATAATTTACAATATTACACTATTTTTTTCCTTAATAATTATGTATCTATTTTATTATTATTATTATTATATATATATATATATATATATATACACTAATGAATAATATTTGATTTTTTATTATCTATATTATTATTACTTATATTAATTTTTTTATTTTTAATATAAACGTATGTTAATCATATTATATATATATATATATATATATATATAATTATTTGTCAATCAACTGTATTATTATTATAATTAAATTATATTATAAACAAAATATCTGAATTCTAAAATTTTTAAAGACAAATAATCGAATAAAAAATTTATATAATCAATTATATTATACAAATAATTGATTATATTAACATCAATAATTGATTATATAAAAAATATTACTATATTTATTATTAACTTATAATCCATTATATAAACATAGATTATATGAAAAAATATTATTATATTTATTATATATACGAATTAATATTAATAATATATAATATTATGGTTATTCGTCTTTTTATAGTTTTTTATTAAAATAAAATTAAAATTATATTTAAATATAAATTTATTTTTTAATAACGTTATTGATTTTATTTTTATTATAATTTTTTTAATTAATACTTAAAAGAAATTTTTATACATGATTTTAAATTAATAATTTTAAATTTATTTTTATTTAAATAATTAAAAAATATTTTTTATAAAATAATTTTATTTATTTTATTAAATTTAAATAATAATATTTTAGTAATTTAATAAATTATTTTATTAATATATTTTTTTTTATTTCAAATCAATTATAAAATTTCCTCTCATTTTTTTTCACTTTCCACTCTCTTTCTCTTTATTAAAAAAAATTAAAAATTAATAGAAAGTATCCCAAATTATTTTTATACTTTGTATAAAAATTTTATTATATCTCAAAATTTGAAGTATAACATAAATTAATTATTTAATATTAAATTATATTACATTTTAATTTATACTTATTTTATCACTTATCAAGAGTATTTTTATCATTACATATTTTATATTATTATTTTAATTTTTTTATATATCAATTTCATCTTCTACCATATTTTCTCTTATTTCTTCTTCGCTTTTTATCCTATTTCCCTTAATCCAAATAATATCCCTTTCTACTCTCTTTCTCTTTTTTTTCAAACTCCCTCAAATTCACTCTTCCATCAAAACAAAGACGTTTAATAAAATAATATTTTTATAATATAATAAATATAAAATAAGTTTATTAGTAATAATTATTTTTATAAAAAATAATAATAATAATAATAATAATAAAGATTACTTTCATGACTATTATAAATTATAATGAAAATTATAAATATAAAACATACTAAAAAGTAAAAGATGATTAATTATTAAAATAAAATAAAAATATAATAAAATAATTATTATTTAAAGTTAATATAATTATGAGAGAAAAAATTTAAAATATATTATATTTTTTATAAAAAAATATATTAAAAAAAATTGATCATAAATATTTTTTTTTTTATCAAAACTGGTTCAACTAAAAACTTAGTTGATTTATCTGATTTTGTCTAAATTTAATTAAAATCTTATTATTTAGAAATAATGAATCGATTTCTAGTCTAATTTTTTTTAAATCCGTTGGATTTTTAAAACAGATATTGCAATTTCCAGGTGAATGTAAGTTTAAAAAAAGGTTTGAGTGGATGGTAGTGAAAGAAAGACGTGTTGATGATCCATACCACATTATACGCATGCAAAAGTAAAACATGTTTGTATTGTATCTTGGAATTTTGAATAAAGGAAGATCTAGTGGCAGTTTGGTGTTATAATCTTAAAAATTTTGGTACATGAGCAGAGTCCTGTGCACAGACATAATTTATTGATCTATGACAAATTCCATACTATAGGAAGTGAAGACATTATTTTGTGATGACGAGACAAAATGATGGCAACTGGGGCCATTCTCTTTATGGTGGAGGCTGAGAAGGCTCTAGGTCCAACTTTAGGGTTTTGAACCAACCTTTGCCTTAAAAAAATGGTCAAGTAAAATAATAAATGGTGTTAAAAATAGTATGTGACAAAGAATGTTAATGGCAGTTCTTAATTACAATTCATGCTCACTGAAAGCAGCAATGAAGTGTCACACACAACTTTGCACCTTGTCATTTTCTTTGGCTGTTAAGGATGGTGAAAGGCATTGAATCCAATGACAAGGTGCCTCACTTTGGAGAAGCACAAACCAACTTTAATGTCATCCTAAAGATTCTTTTCATCCAACCTGATCTTAAAGGTACCATTTTATTTTTAAAAACCATCCAAATGCCCTGAATTTTGAAATAGCATATGCCTGAGGAGAAGGAAGTCATTATTGTCATATTGTCCCGAAAAATGTAGATCATACAAAACTTATCTCATTCAGTACACAAAATCATTGACCGTTGCTATAAATTTGGATAAGGATATATCCACAAACTTTAGTGAGATTTACAAAGAAATTAGGGTCTCCCTCTGATTACCTGAATCCAAAAGACCAGTGTAATCATATCATCATTTTTGCTTACTTTTGTAGGGTCAGTACGTTTGGTGCATTTGGTCTCAGATGTAGACTCGAAATATTACTCAGACCCACAAAATTAAATGACTGATGTAATGTTTTTACTTGTGGACAATGTAGACACCCTAGTGGAATGCTAGTAGTTTCATGTTGAGAATATTTTGTAGTGCTAAATAGTTTCATTATGTTGATCCATTGCATCACAACTATGATAGGTCAATATCAGTTAAAATAATTCTCTTATACAGTCAAGTCAGTGGTAGATGAACACAAACAATAAAGTAGAACATGGAGTGTGTAAGCTAAAATAATTCAGAAGTAAATCATTTCATGATCACTGCATGGAGAACATTGAGCACACATATCTTAGAAAACTAATTACAAGATGTAACATATAATTATAGGAAATGCTTTGTATACACCCAAAATGCTCCTCAAGAAGTGTCCTACCAGATGGACTTCAAGGGCAACCAAAATACACCCTCATGATTGGTGAAGTGAATATTAAGTTTAAATTCAACTTCTGACTAACCGGAAATGGTTATAACAATATTCAAGAAGTATAATCCACGAGGACGAGTAAAGCAGAATAATCATTTGGGAGAGCACAACGCAACTCATTATGAGGAATCGCCAAGGAGACAGGATCTAAGTGTTAGCTTCAACTTTTATAAGAACGACAAAAGTGCAAGCATATAGGAGAATCGAAAGGGTCCAACATTGAAAACCTTCCACCATCCTATGCTATAGAAAAACAAAGGTATTTTCTGTTGTCTTTGTTTTTTCCCATGAAATCAAACATGGACACCCTCACCTGCA